TATGTTCACCTAGAGTTCAGTTGCACCTACTGATAATAGAAAGCAGGAACTAGTCGTGAGAAAGTAATTTTTGAGCATCCAGTCTTCTGGACTGCGCCCCCTGGGGCAGAATGATTCTTAAGTGAATGTGGGAAGTATTTAAATTCTCCCAAATGGAACCTATAGGATAAGGGACAAAGTTCTATACCTTGGCTAGTCACTCTAGGATCCCTTCTACTCCAATTCAGTCATTTCTTTGGGTGAGGAATTGAATGAATAACAGAGTTCTGAAGGGTTGAGACAATGCACGATCAGGTTTCAATATACAACTTAGGTTCATATTCCAGTGCAGTTGCAGAGATCAGCACGGACCAAAGGCCAGTGCAAGGAGACACATGATTCATTTCTCATCATTTTTGGAAAACCCTTAGCTTTCAGAGAAAGACTTTGGGGTAACGAGTAAGCATTAAGGGTGGGGATTTGTGAGGCTTTGCCAGTGGTCATGTCACACAACTGATTTGGTCTGGTGATCATGATAAATGTTGAAACCCTCTTTTGACATGCTCTGGAAACCAGGTTAAATTTGTGGCAAAGAGAACTGGCCTTACTGGAAAGGATTTAGAGCTTCACATGGAAGTAAATGAGTTCTTTAAAAAACCAATCACACAAGAAAACAGGCAGACCGAACTAGATATACTCAATCTGCAGAAAAAGAAGATGAAAAGGAATGCTGGATTCTGCAACACGAGGGATGGGTTACAATTCCCTGAATATGTGTAGATCAAGAAGTACAAAACAAAATTGCTATACCTCTGAGCCACAGAAGATAAGATTTTAATTACTCAAACAGAAGAATCTCCCAAATACCAAAATAGCACATACTGATCATATACAGTAGTAGAGATCTGGCTAAGAAGTTCCTGTTGAATCCATTGTATGCACTGGCATAAAAAAGATGAAGAATAAACTTAAAGTGTCTCCTTGTAAAGAAAAATGTGACTTCTAATGTTGTCTTCCCAGTGTGGTGTTGGGGATAGAGGAATGGACCAGAACTCTGGAGAACAGGGTTCGAATCCCCCTTCAGCCATGGAAACTCATTGGTAAAACAGGTAAACTGGTAAAAGTATTCTGAAATAGCTCACTTACCTTGAAAGCCCTATTAGAATCACGATTAGTCAGTTCCAACTTAATAGCACAGAACACACACGCACAATGTTGTCTTAGTCAAAAGAATTGTAAGAAATAAGGAAGGAAGGAACGAAGCAAGTCAGAAACAAATTCTACACCACCTTACCTAGGAGAAAACTCTATTGAACACAGTGGGACTTTGTTTGAGTAAAGGTATGTGCATTGAGCTTTAAGTCAAAACACAAGCTGGTTCAAAACACCAGAATTTAACAAATTGACAATCATCCACACTTCTGTCTTACTGAATAAACAACACATTGGAAAACAAAAGCAAAACAATCCTATCAAAAGGTGTATGGGGCAGATTCACAAACTTGACAGGTGAAAACAGACAAGTGACATACTTTGGGAAGAAAAAGAATTTCTGGGACTAAGATGACAAATTCTACAATTCCATTGGTTCTGCATGTTCACCTTGAATGTGGCCCACAGGACATCCTCTCTGCTCCACTTGCTTCTCTGCTGCCCTCCTCAGAGGAAGTCTTTTCCCTGTCTCCCTTCCACACTCCAAGGTGTTTTCTAAAACGTCTCCAGTGGTACAAGTGGAGGCTGGGAAAAAAAAAATCTTAACTGCCATGTGGGAGGGGAATTCATTTGGGAAGTTTGGTCCTAGGGAGAGAAGCAATAACACTTCCTGCCCGGAGGCTGTGACTCCCCCTCCCCTGCCAGCATCTTCTAGATGAATGGAAGAGTCTGGCTTATAGTAAGTGCTCCTATATTTTAACTGAGCTGGACAGGAGTTGCAGAAGAGCACTGGGAGAGATGAGGGAGAGAGGCTGTTTTGTAATGTGCCTTAATAAACATCTTCTTCTTCTTTTTTTTTTTGCCTTAGGCCAGCTCCAACGTTCTTGAGTAGCAGCAGCAGTAGTGTTGTTTTCAAAATTTAATGAGACTACTAGCATTCGTTTCCCAGGGAAAAAAACATCATGTTGGTTGATGATTTATTTGTTTTGCAGGTTTTTTTAGATTGTCACTCCACAAGGAAAGGAGAGAGGTTTCTCTGCGTCTTGACATACTTACCCAGTAATATGCTGGTGACCAGAAGCCTATTGCTGGGCCTAACTAAAGGAAGAGCTGGATAGCTCAGTGTTTTAGGTCTCTGCTGTGGGTTGGGAGTTTGATTCCCCACTGTGCCTCCTCAACAGCAGCTGGACTTAATGATCCATAGGGTCCCTTCCAGCTCTGCAGTTCTAATATTCTAATATATTAATAAAGTATGACCATTGAATCAATGGGAGCTATGTGAATTTTAACTCAGTCTCCAACCATTGACTGAATGGGTCAATAGTCTACTTGGAAGTAGCAATAGGATTCGGAGAGATGGGTTTAATAGACCTGGGAGTAATGGGTTTGAGAAGCAAGGGAGTTAAACTTAGGCAGTTTCAGAGCACAAGTGAGAAACTTGTGACCCTCCAGATATTGTTGCTCCAGTCTCTCATGTCATGACCCCTTCCCACTGACTCTGCTTGCCAGGCCCCATGGGAGTTGCGGTCCAAGCTCTCCGGAGGCCTTACACATTTCCGGCTCCCGTTTTAGAACGTGGGCTTAATTGTCCTATGCTGGCAAACAAGGGAAGCACTCTGTGGCTTCTTCTTCAAAATGTGGGCAGCCTTTTGTGTGAGGACTTGCTCATTTTGCTGAATCAGGCCCCCGAAGTCTCCCTCCATGTCCTGTCATCATTGCACTGCTGGCCAGAGCTTTTTAGAAACCGCTCTGGCCAAGCAGCAAATCTCAAGATGGAAAAACACTGCCCTCCCTCCAGCTGCACTTATTTCACCTGGTGGAGCTTTTTACTACAGTGCTAGGGAAGGTCCAGCCTGGCAGAGGGGGTTGGAGTACAACTCCCATCATCCCATCATCCCTAGCCAGCATAGTTAGTGATGATGAGGAACACTGGGAGCTGTAGTCTAACAGGATCACGAGGGCTGCACTTTACCTGATCTTCTTTAGAAAAGTGTTTACAAACAAGCGAGAAACGGGGGGGGGGGGCTCAGAAGCCGCTGCTGTGAATGGACTCTCCGGCATGCAATATATGTCATTTCACTGGGAAGATGAGGGTCATGTGGAGCTGGGCTGAGAGGTGGCTTGCTTTTCATGGATAAATATGACAACGGACAGCCAGCTTCCGAGACACTCTACTATATTTTCATTAGAAGCTTTCCTACTCTTTTGTCAGAGCAATCCTTAGCTTTGGGGAAATGGTAAACAAAGGGCATTTTCCTGGACAATGCCATGACTGAGCGACCGCAGCTGGTCATGGGCAAGATATCCAGGGGTGGGATGGGGCGGGGGGGATACAGCAGTGGTTCCCAGCCTCGGGCTACCCAGCTGTTCCTGGACTGCATCTCCCAGAACCCACCCCCTGGGGAGTGGAACACCAAGAACGCCTGGGCTACCCAAGGCTGGGAACCCCGGGGGGGGGGGAATGACAGGAACGCCGTCTTTCCCAAAGGGCAGGAGAACTGGGATTGCCCTTTGAATCACCAGCGCACCACTTCTAAGTCCAGTGTATTTTGCTAGAACTGGAAGCACAAAAGAGGTGTGATGGGGAGGGAAGCCATTTGACCATTTCTGATTCTGCCAAAGGGGCTGTGGGTTCATCCCCAACTGCTTCTGTATCCTTTAGGTACAAGCCATCATCATCGGCCTTGGTGCTCTTACTCTGAAAGAGGGTCTCACATCTCCAAGACCCCCTTCTTCCTTCCTTCCCCTCTTCCCTTTGGGGCTTTCTGGTAGCAGGAGCGCACAGGGACTGTTTTTCTGGAACCACCTCCAGGAAAAAAGATACAGCCACTAGCCCGCTTTTTGCCTGCAGGGAGAACCATGAAGCCCGGCTCCCTGGGTTTTGCGGACTTGGCCGGGCTGCTCCCAGGCATTTCGCTGGCCGACCGGGCGGCGTAAGGCCAGGGTGCCTTCCAGACGGTGCCTCCTCCTTCCCTGCAGCGCTGCAAGGTAAGGATTGCACGCACGGCTGCGCCGGGGCGGAAAGTTGCGCGGGCCTCGGCCTCCGCCTCCTGTTTCGTGCAAGGAGGATCACGTGCAGCTGCTGCCCAGGATTTGAGCGTGGTGCTGCTGTATAAGCACATCCTTCCCCGTTGCATAGGTGCTGCAGCGGCTGCAACATCAGCAAGCATCTCCCTCTCCTCCCCCACGACTTCTGGGGCGGGATGCGTGCATGCTGGCGCTCCCCGCCACCTGTTCTCTCCACTTCCCCCCCCAATGGCGTCTTGCTCACTTGATCGCCTCCCCCGGGATGGTGGGTGGTCCGAAGTCCCCCTTTTACGGCGAGAGGGAAGAGGATCGGGGGCTGGGGTGGTGGTGAGAGAGGCGAACCGGGGTCACCCCGAGATAAAGGCAAGGAGAAAGGGCACGGCTTA